GATTGTGGGTGACGGATCAACAGCTAAATATCTCCGCGCAATCCCAATTTGAATTGCCTATAGCTCAGATATTGCCTTGTTAGGACTCTTGAAAGTGCTCACTGGCTTGTTCTTGAAGGCCGTGGCTCATGCCAGTGCTCTCCGAGCGGAATGGCTAACGTCGATCAAAACTCGTTGAAATAAACGGGATCCTCTGCTAAAAGCGTGACCAAGTTAATGTCCGTTTCATACAATAATCATCATGGTTGTCAATTGGAGTTCATATCAAAGGCAAAAAAGGGAATGCCGATTGCGGTGCCCTATGCCGAAGGCACGCAAGCGCAGGGCTTTCGATAATTGACGCAGTATGGGCACCGGCCTAGGTTGTGCCCTCGGGTGTGTAGCCAGAATCAGGGGAGGTTTTATTCCTTAATCAGATTTTGGTATCGAAGCATCACTTGTCAACGACGAATGCCAACACAGGTGGAGGGTGCCTATGACCCGAAAGCAGCCGTCTACAGATGGGGAGAGGCAGCATCAGGAGCAAGATACATTTCCATGGACAAGGATGCATCTAAGTACAGCGAATACATTCTTTCAAGTAAGATTTGACCAACGCTGGAGACAAATGCTTCTCGGTGCGCCGGATTTGTTTATATGACGGGCTTAATTCATAAGACTGACATTTGCTTTTACGTAATAAGAGGTTTCTTATTCAGCAACTGCCGGAAGAGCATGCCTCCTCTGTAGTGCCAGAGGAACCTATGGGACCGTATGAGATGTTTTAAGGTTTCAATCGCCGCATCTTTGTGTAGATGAATATATACATCATATTCGGAAAGAACACGATCGAAACCTCCAAGTTCATCTAAAAGTTGAATGAAATTGTCCCTCTCTCCGGTATTCATCAAACAAAATGCGCTCAGTTGGGTGCAAAATTAACTATCAGACAACGATCGCTTACCAAGCCATTAGAAGCCCGTTCTGAAGATCCCTGCCTCATTAAGACGTGCGCACCGGCCTTGGAATTGTGAGCTCGGAAATCGCGACCTTGCTGCTCTGCTTGGAGGAAATTACATCACAATGGCGATTTTGGGTGCTTTGAAAAGTCCATGAAAATTTGGGTCTTTTTCAATTGGAGCAGTGGGGAGTCAGAACACTGTCAGTTTTACTTTCACTAGAGATTTGTTGTTTGTCCATGCGTCGCTATAATCACAGGTGCGAATACGCAAAATTCAGGAAAACTCTTGTTTGGGTCGTAATATATAAATAGCGGTGCAAAGATGCATATATACTTGCATGTACATGGTGTTCTGAATGTTCGTGCGCAGCTGAATGGAATTTGTGGACCAAGTATACAGATTCCAAAGGATAAAACAGATCGTGGAAGTAAATGCGCAAGCAACCACGCTTTCACTAGAAGCAGTCTCGTTATTATTCGCAGAAGATTCACGTTCAATACATCCATGAATTCGGAAGGCAAAGGATTGCTTTTGAGTTTTTTATTCATTGCGAGGAAATCTGAATGTGGATTACTGATCCATGCGACGCTAATGGTACAAAAAAGCTGAGGAATGGCGCAGCAGTGCTTCTTCAATCATTGTTGCTGCTGCACTAATCGTTGTGCTCAGGACTAGCGATCGAATTAACTCTCTCCCAGCTTGATCTCGGTTCATGTTTTTATGCTCCAGGTCGGGTGTTCCATGTCGAAGTTTCGATGTCGTACAATGAAAAGGGCACCAAGAAGGATCAATCGAAGAGCCCGGCGCGGCTCACTGGAACGTATTTTGCATCAACGAACGTGCAAGGTATGTATTTATATGTGCCGTACTGGCCCACTCTTTTTCAACAGTCGCCTACTTGCATTCCCCATGCTAGCAAACGTCGCTAGATACATGGCGCGCATCTTGAGCACTGTGTTGCATAACCATTGCGCAGGGTACTTAAATATCTGGAAGAAGTGAGGGCGAGAGGACCCGCATTTGATGGCTTTAATCGCGGGGCGACTTCAATCTGACACCATGTGAGGGTATATACGGAGGGCCGTGGCCTTTGAAGCAATATGGCAAACAACCGAATGGGTGGTTTCAACGAAGCCATTACGTGCTCTTAATGAGCAGATGTCGCAGGACCACGATTTGGTAATATGTGGGAGGGACAGGGGAGCTGGAGCCGTCATCCAAAGAGTAATTTAGCTTCCAATCTTTGTATCTTTTAGGACAGAATCACGATTTCAGGAGATTAAACCATCCTTTCGGTGGTCAACATCTGCTGGTCAATGTGCAGCATTGGGTAGAAATTCACGATATGCAAATATTGTTTGACAAATCGACTATTGCGAGGATCGCCAGATGCTGGAATGTATGATTAGAAGGTCGCCACAATGTGCTGAGCATTTCTGGTGAGGCTTCATCAGCTCTGTTGACAAATTCCGTTGTTAGCAGGAAGGAGATACTGTCAATTGTGACCGTTGGTAGCAATACATAATCTTCGCTTGATTTTGACGGCACATGTCTAATTTTGTTTGGATTTCGGCGCGATCTTTGACTCTGCAAGGTTGTGAATCTCCTTGTAGCATATTTGATGTGTTGAATGACCTTCAATCTGGAATGTGGCTGCAGATGTTATTCACCTACGCACGCAAATTATATGCGACTGAAGGCTCACAAAGATGTATGCCGCGTAGCTATAGTGTGGCTGATGCTTGTTGTTTACCTTTATAGCCTTGGAATGAAAGGCTGTTAATCCAGGAAGAATAAAAAAGGCAGTCCGGCAGGCTGTCAATTTAATGATAGGATGGAAAAATCGCATAAACGAAATGTGTGAAATGTACATCAGACAAAGCGTTGAGTGCTACAATATACGGCTTTGGAACTTTTACTGTCGACCGAATCTCCACGGGAATGCCAACATGCCGACGGGCTTGTATTGCCTCTATGGAAGCAAGAGATTGTTACCTGGAATCCTGTCGTCACAAAACCCGAAATCGCATAACTGCCGTATTGATCGCGGCATCCACTGACCAGCGCATTCATAATTCTCGCAGGGCACAACAAAACAATTTTAGGGTTTCAGAGGGAGTCAGTAGCTTAGTTCTTGTGTTTTGACCCAGTTCTGCATTGAAGTCGGCATGTGTTCCAGGGCACGGGATGGCAGTAGTACGGGGTCCTGCCATCGTCCAATGCATATTGTGGCTGCCGAATCAAATTGAGCCTTGTTCAAATGAATTCAATTCGACTCCGTGGATTACGTGACGAAAGAACTCTCAAATTCAAACTCCAGGCCCGAATTCAATCCCCTATTGAAGCGTTTGTGTAAGTCTCGCCATTGGATGTATATTATTTGCACCAAGTATTTGCATACGCATTAAAATTAAACGAGGCTTAGGGGCCGGCTGAAAACCAAAACTGTGAAGACTGCAAGATTATGCATATCTACAATGGATTCACGCTTCCTTGAAGTACAAGGAAGACCCACCGGCAGTCTCAGGCTCGCTGCGCAACAGAAACAATGACAAGAATGATTGCTCTGAAGGGGCCAACATCAGAAGTGTGTGGGTTGCTTGTCCCCTGACGGATGCTGGCAAGAGCTCCTGTTGTCGGGAGAGACGCATCTGATAATAACAGGGCGCACACATGACTGCATCGCCCAGGTGAAAACTTCAGAGGTGGGATATGCCATTCCGCCTCAATGCCAGCCTAATCCATGAAATCCAAGGACCACCACCAGCGCCTTTACTTGGTCGAGCCTTGCCTGGCAATGCACGTATTGTAATTGAAGTCCTTTGAAAAATAGTTTTGCCCGACGACTTATCCAAATCAACTGCTTTTAGGTTGGTTTAGAGTTGCTTTGCCATCCACCCATCGCACCTTGCTGGGAGCCTCACATAAGGGACAGTATCTTCCAATCAGATTCAGTGCACTGATGTGAGCTGCAACTCTGTTGACGTGCTGGACCGCAGCGAAGCGCGGTGTCGCCTTGATCGGTGCTGCGGGGCGCGGGGTCCTGTGGACAACAGCGGCGCGTATGACAACAGGCAAACAAGGCCACAGCCTGAGACAAGTCTCGCCCAGACCTGATTGTTGGAAGTTTCGGCGGTGGCCCGGGCGCCTTCGCCACACCGATAGTCCAATACTTGTAGTCCAAAGATTGCCGCCGGCTTTGTCCATCGAACGTCGCCGGACATTGTCCGTATTGTACCCTTTTTCGATACTTTGCCCGACAATTTGTTCCAAACAACGTGTCTTGGGCCGAAACTTTCGGTAAGCACAATTTCTGACAGGTGCGCTGCCACCCGCACACTTAACTTCCTTGGGAATTCCTTGGGAACTTACATAAGGACAGTGGTTTCCCATCCGAGTCAATGTACTGCTGCGACTTACAGCCTTTTTAACTAGTGATGCAGTTGCTCACAGCGAAGCACACGCCGCATCAATGTTGCGAGGTGGCAAGCTGCTAGTCGCGTCGCCATGATGGGCGCAGCTGTAGCCCACCTTTGCAGACAGCGTGGTTGCAATTGGCCATCGGTATTCTGCTGCACCAATTGCAGCTGTGGGCACTCGAGTCCAAAGGCGATAAGCCGCCGAGCCATGCGTGCAGAAATGGGGAACAGTTAGAGGTTGTCCTGCCAATCTTTGTCCGAAATTGGCCGTGTTTCAACCGTTTTGGCCCATCAGTTGGCTAAACATTTTGTCCCTTTTGGTGCATCAAACCAGTTACTGGAATTCTAATTCTGGTACAAATAGCCAACTCGGGCTCACAGCTAACACTAGCAACCACCAGCATAAAAAAACTGAAACAAATCACCAGCATCCTTTTGTTGCAGCCCCACCATTGCAGCACGTGCAATTTACCGCCCCGTTCAAAGCACAGATGTGCCAAATCACTTCCATTTCGCAGAATGGCATGGCCCATCATGTTCCGCAGCAAACGCCCCACCACAAATTGACGCCTGCAGCGCCCTTGTCTCACTCCCCCTTGGGCGCGGCCGGCCCCGTTCTCCCGCCGCGTCGCGAGGAGGAATGGCTGCCTGTCGGACCTGCGTAGCCACCTTGGCGGCCGTGCTGGCGATGGCGATGCTGGCGTCGGCGGAGCCCTCCACCGCGCGTCCGCTCGTGATCTCCCACAGGCACGCATGTCCACATGGAATGCCATCCCGCACCCGCGAGAGCCTCCTCATGCGATGGATCTGGCCAGGCTCGCTTTCACATGGAGACCGCCTTTTTGCAAATCTCGATCTCTTCTCTCTGTGCCTTCGGCTTCGCAGCCCACCGCGGCTTTGCCATTTGTTGTCGCATTCCCACCTTCACTCTCTCGGCCATTACTAGCCCTGGATCGCGCTTTATGGCATCCAGAGGTTGGATTGGACACCATACTTGGAGCCTGGGTGCCAGCCATGCCCCATTCCCACACTTCGTGCTCATGTGCTTGGGCTGGCTGTGACTTTACGTGCCTGGCTCCACAGGGGGTACCCCTGCAAGTATCCAGAGGAGACGATCAGAGGCTACGAGGTACGAGCACTGTGACCATTCAGAAAGCTTCCAAGATCGGTGAACACAGCGTCAGACTGGGGGCTGTTGCAATGATTTCGAGCTGCACGTGAAGCGAGGCCATTGAGAGCCCCATTCTCCCAGCCTTGATTTCTCATAATCCGCAGCGGCGATAAGCATGTTGTTGTCTTGGCTCGTGGTGGCCCAACAGAGCACAGCTGGTGCGGTTAAGCGGCCCGATCTGCAACCCTGGGTACACTGAGGCGTTGCAGTTAGGGCCTTGGTGGGGCCCCAAACTTGTCAGTGGTCCTCCATCTGATCTTCGTTTCAACTCTCTGGCGCTTGTGCAGGAAGCGATCGCTGCAGGAGTAGATTACATTGAGATGGACGTGGTGGGTTGGCAGATGGCCTCTCCTGGATTTTGGGTGCATGTTGGTTCTCCTTGTTGCTTTGGCAGTGCTGGACACCCCCAGGGGCTTGTGATTGACTCTTTTGCAGAAAGGGGAACATGTTGTGCTGCAGACAGGCCCCTTCTAGGTGGTATTTTGCTGTGAGTTCTTTTCTGTACTATTAAGACGTTGCAGAAACTTCCCAGGTGTCACATGAAGAATATACAACATGGAGTTGCTCTAATGGCATCGCCACTGGTCACACATGATCAAGTGATATGTGCCCCCGAGATTCACACATAACTGAGGGTGCCTAGGAAAAGGAGCCACAGCTGCAATCTGCTTTGCAATGACAACACACTACATAGGCACCTGCCAAGCAGCGGAGGGCAGTATTCTCACCACCCACACTCCTTGAGCACTTACACAGCATACCCAACTGATGAGCGGGCAGCAACCTGTGCTATGATCCAGGTCTTGTGCTCATCATCCCTGTTGTCCTCTCTCCCCTTTTTTGCATGTATGAAATCTCTTCAATCGGTCTTTGCATGTTCACAAGTCTTTTTGAGCTTGGACAACATGCTGAAATATGTGGATCTGCATGCAGGTCAGCACCAAAGATGGCAAACTTATTACAAGGCATGACGTCCTCTTGGACGAGTCAACAAACATAAAAGATGTTGACGAATTCAAGAACAGGACAGCAACCAAGTGAGCATCTTTTGTTGCCCAGAATTACCATCGAGAAATCAGCTGCCTGTGCAGTGCTTTTCAAAGTGTGCTGGGTCCACAGTGTCGAAATTGATGTTGCTGTTGTGAATTGTTGGATTCTGTGCGTTTATCCCTCCTGGGATTGTCTCCATTGTGTGCCACAGATGACATGCACAGCCACCTCTCTGTTTCCAATTCTGATTTATTTTGATCGATCACTGGCTTTGAATTGAAAATGCGGACTAGATGCGCAGCACACATCCATGAGCTGTTAATTGCTATCATTGTAATGTATATCTCCGGCAGCTTTGTGTTTTGCTGCTGCGCACACCATCGCAGAGTATCATTTCTGTTGCCGATTCTTGTTTGTAGGCTTGTCAATGGCAAGAACATCACTGGCTACTTTGCGATTGATTTCACTCTGGAGGAAATTAAATCGCTCAAGACACGGCAGAGGCTGGCATTCAGGGACCATTCTGTTGATGGCAAATTTATGGTAGGCAAGTGAATCTCATTTTTGGCAGAATCACTGTCGGTGATTGTGACCACCTCGTCACCACTCAGTGTAATTAGGAATTTGGATAGCGATCAAGCTCAGAGAGCGCTTGTCACAAGGTGTTGGGGTGAATGGCTGGCTGCAAAACAGCTGTTTGAGTTTATGGCTCTGCACTCTCGGCCAGGTACCAACACTCAAAGAAGTCCTGCAGCTGGTGAAGGCTGCAAGGAGAAATGGCACAAAAGTGGGGGCATACACAGAAACCAAGCATCCACAATTCCACATCGACAACAAGAGGTGACCTGCTGCTTCCGCAATACTCCCTTTGCATTGCATTGACCACAAGCAGAGCCAGCACCTGGTCTCCTGTACGAAAAAGCTCATCACTTGTTAGTTGTTTGAGAATTTCCAAAAGCTGTAGGTCAGGGTAAAGCAGAGTTCAATTGTACCAATGGGCGTGTCATAGGCACACAGAGTTCCCAGCACCCAAGTTCTTGCAGCATGCATTTGTATCCCTAGCATAAGCAACACAACTACTCACAGAGTTGCCAATCTTGTTTTGTTGTGGTTCTGTGCCCTGATGTTAGTACCCTTGTTTCGGGAGCAGCGATGTCAAAGGAGTTGTTGTGGCCAGCCTGTTATCCATTGGCCATGTCACAGTTGTGCCATCATATATATCATGAACACCCTGCTTTGAAGCACTGCGAGGTCATTATTTGGCTCCAGCCGTGCACAGTGTGAAGCACTTCCGATCCACCTCATCTTAGGACACCACAGGTCATCGTGAGCAAAAATATTGTTTGGATTTATGGCAGGGCTCACTGATGGCCGTGACCAGCATTTTATTCTAATTTCGTAAGGAGTGTTGCCTTTGTCGATGCCGCCAGGCAGGCCTCTGGAGGAGCCACTGGTGGCTGAGCTAAGAGACCTCCAGCTGTTGGCGGACCCTGGGGCAATTTACCTTCAATCCTTCGACCCAGCATCGATAAAGAAACTGCAAGAGCTCCTTGGGGATAAAAACAGACTTCCTGCCACGTGGCTGATCGGCTGTGAGGAACCCATCCCCACACTTGCAGAGCTGGAAGAATTCAAGGAATACGGGACTGCAATTGGGTCAGTGCAAGTTTCAGGAGCAACGCATTCTTCTGCAGCTGTTGAAAACCAATGATTACCTCCACTTCTCTGCAAGAAGGAATCACATCACGCAATATGCATGTCCCTCCACAGCAAGGTGTTTGTGTACATTACCTGGGGATCATGTGGGAAAGGGGCAGCTGATGTTGATGGTGTTAGAATTTATTGCTGTTGAATCTGCTTTCTGGGAATGGGCACAGACAGGCTGTTGATGTTGAGATGTTGTGCACTCTCAGTATATTGCTGTGATAGTCCTTGTGCAAGCCAGCGCTGCGTATGTGCACCTTGTCATTTGCCAAACTCAGTTGTTGTGGTCTCTTACTTCCGCAGGCCTGACAAGTTGCTGCTTTTCAACGTGAACGCTGCGGACGAGTGCGGCCGATCGGCAAATTCGTCGTGTGGCGCTTTGGAGCCAACCCAGGAATGCATCGGCAGACTGGAGCCGCCTCCAGAGGCTGCTGCCACAAGCACATTGCTAACTGCCGCCCACGATACCGGCCTGGAGGTCCATGCATACACATTCAGGAATGAGGTGGGTAGCGCCACATGATCGTAGATACTTGCTGGCATTGTTAACAAGTGGCAGTAATTGTTGCTGATTGTACTATTTTGCAGGGTCACTAGTACATGTACATAATTTTCTTTCGGTTTTCTTCAGTTTGACTGTGTGATAGCTTGCTATGATGTTGCATCCTTTTAAATTGCTTCACTGCGTGTCGACGGCTCATTCTACCTTGCATGCACTTTTCACCATGCCATTTGCCATCATGAGAACCCTACCCTCTGACAGTGCATCAAAGCAAATGTTTCACTGCACTGATCAACAAGGGCCCAGCAAGCATTTGGATTTTGCACGGAGGCATTGACAGAATTCTGGTTGCTAAGGGCTCACAGTTGCACAAAATAGTCACGCAAATGAGATCGGGTCGTCTGCAGAAACCTTGCAATTGAAGAAAATGGAAGTTGAAAGCTTTGGAGGATGGAAAACGCAGTTGCTGGTGATGATATTTTGGCTGTCTTGATTTGCACCAGTGCACTGCCAATCCATGCTGCAGCCACGGAACTATACAGCTCTCAGGCAGTGCACTTTTCCAAAACTATTACAACATACTTCCTCCGTCCGGAATTAATTGTCCTCTATGAATTTGGTGCCTTATTTCTCCATCATAAGTACTTCATTTCTCATTCAAATTTCTTGCAAAACTAAGCCTATGTTTTAAGAGTATGCAGTCAAAATTTCAAGTCAATCCGTTGAGTATTGTGGATTTGGCAGCACTTTGTAGCAAGCGTCATCTAGCTAGAATCCCACCAGTTTTTCAACATCCCTGCTGGAATGGCCATTTTCGCTGTTTTGAGGAGCACGCCTTTGCGGCAGCGGTACAGAGCCGCCCGGGCAAAACTATCCATGCCATTTGGACAGAAGATCATGGAGGTGCTGGCAAAGGAAAAGGGCAACAGAAAATGTGTCTTGAAAGTCCTGATCGTGGAAGTTGCCATGTCTTGCGGCTACAATTCAAGTTCGATTGGCCAAATCAGAGATGCCCATCAGGTCCAAATTTATGAACCACGACTTTTGGACCTCCAACTCCACTACGAGGGATACTGCAAGAGGCCTCCCAAATTCCTTGTAGACCTTTAGGAAGGTGGTGGCCATCACCCTATTCAGCGGCGGACAATTAGGGGGTAATTAGGTGGCAATTAGGTAGTGACCCTCCTGGATAGGAATAGTGAATCGACCATTTTTTGGTACTTGAAGGGCTTGAGCTTGAGAAGACTAGCTAGATAGATAAAACTATGTCTCTCAAAGGGAAATGCACTTGCTGGGCTGCGACAGGTTGTGGATTGCATGCAAGAATTGGCAGATCATGGCAGTTTGTGGGGTGTGGGCCAGTCTGGTCACAAAAACAACGATTCAAACCTCAATCGAGGCAGATTGTCCAAACAAGTCTACTACATAACCTTGGAACAATAGCTCGCACATAGCCCAAGCTTGAATACCCTGTACCCTAGCCTTGTCCGCTTGCTTTACGTACGCACGCCAAAGATCGACGATGGCTGAGATTTGAAAAATCGTCAAAACTGTGAAAATGGCCTTCCACGATGGGGATCCAAACACGCTCGTGCGTGTTTAGCAAGTGCTATTCCATGTAAGGGACACCACCCTTCACTGCAAAGACAACAACGACTTATCTTTAGTGCACCAAGGATAGGAGTGACCCAGAAACGTGTGGTTCTCTAGCAGGTGCGGAATCTGCACACACACTTTCTGGACGATTTTCGGCCAGTTTCGGCGGCCACCCAGAGGGGGTGGGACTAATTATTTTTTCTTGAAAATTGGTAGTTAAGGGTTTTGCAGCCCAATCTTTCCGATTCTGAGACTTTTTGGTAAATTCAAAGTGTCCTTTGTAACGAATTTTGTCTCTCAAATAGAGGACAATTAATTCCGGACGGAGGAAGTAGTTGAGAGTCCATGCGCTGCCCCCATCCTAACGAATGAGATGCGAACTACTTGCTATGACATGCGAAGCATTGCCAGCAGTGACTTAACCCTGAGCGCTGCTTCACTACCCATGCAGGGCAAGTTCATGGCACTGGACTTCATGTCCGATCCGTACGTGGAGCTCAACTTTTACGCCAATCGATCGAGGGGGGTATCATGGGTGGACGGCGTCTTCATTGACTGCCCGGCGACTTCTGTTCCCTGGAGGGACGGGGGCTCATGGGATCCCAGTCGAGACAGCGACGAGAATGGTGCTCGAGACTGCAACTACGGCGGCGTTGTGTTTGCTATGATCTTTTTGTCCATTGTGAGCATGGCGTTCTCCTTGCTGTACGTGCGCGAGCGGCGCCGTGGAAGGGCGGGCGGCGCATTCAGCAGGCTTTCGGGCGTCGAGATGGACCAGAGGGCCCAGCTGTAAGGTAGGAGGTGGAGCTGCGTTGCCCCCGCTGTTGGAGGGCTGAAGGCTCCGTATCTCTTGATGGCTTGTGGCTGCGTTCTCCAGAAGTTTGATGCCTTGATGGACTGAGTGAAGTTCAATGAAATACTGTGCAGACTATCGTGTGTCAGAGGGCGTATTGTGAGAGGGCCAGGCTAGGGGAGATGTGACAGTTGCAATGCACAGGTGCAGCAGTCCATTCGCGGCTGCTTAACACACAATGTTAGACAGACGAGAGAGGTTTCTGAGGCTACCCATGGACTACAATCCAAATTCGATTGTTCTTTGTGGTTTTCCAGCTGTTTTGAAGACTTGCTCCATTAGAGTTATTCTGGCATCTGTGGATGCCAGCCAGTCGTCGCTGATGCCTTTGCATCCACGGAATTCGACAGCGGTGAGCGCCAGGAAGCGCTTTGGGACTTCGCCCGCAGCCGTGTAGCGACGTCTCAGAAGCTCCTCCCTCAGCATTTTGGCGCACACCCATTGTGCCCATGCCCACAAACATCATCGTGAAGCAATTAGGGAAGTATTAACTCGATTTTGGCGTGCTTAGCGTCAATCCCCATGTCGAAGCCACGATGACTCCACAACATTACCTAATAGTGTGGTACGTGTGTGTGATGCTTCAAGGAAGAAAACAACCAGAGCTGTAGCGATAGTGGTGGGCTAAAACCTGGGACGCCAAAAGCCATGGCAGACGATGGGGGCATCCACGGAGGCCAACAATTTCACGTGGTTCTTGGTGAAGATTAAACATTGAAGGGAGGCTTGAGGGCAAGTCATGAGCTCTTGCCACTTTTCACGGCGCTTTGGTCATCTTTCAAGCTTATGGCGATTTTTGTGGCGATAACATAATGCCTTAGCGTCATGAGTCTGGACACCCCCAACCCCAACCCCCAGCGCCAAATTGACGTTAAGGCTTTACAGTTAAGCGTACTCACATTCGACATAATGCCTTCCCCTAAATCTCGCAAAAGGCAGAGTGCCCGCTGCTGATAATAGGAAACCCGCTTTTCTCCTGGCCTGGATCTAAGCCAGGGGCATCAAACAGCATTTTCATTCAATGCCCCATCTCACAATACCCAGTCCTCAGCTCGCAATGAGCTTTGCAACACAAGCAAAAGCACCAAACCCCTGCATTTCATATTTCACGCATCCTCAAACCCGAATTCAACCTCCAAGGGATGAACGGTTGGGAGCAAACCAAAGAGGTGGGGAGTCATTGGCCATCTCTCAGTGGGGGGCCTGAGTAAGACCAGCCAAAGTACCCATCAGAACACAAGCCATGAGATGCGGATGTGGACGTCAATTGATTGTGAACGCATTTCTGCATTTCTGCATTTCTTGCCGGTATTTTGCAGTGGCAATAGCATTGTCACTGACAATGTGGAGTTTTCAATACTGCAGTTTTTGTGATTTTGTAACTTGACTTGGCGATGTCGCTACCAATGCAATGTGTAAGTGCCGGTGCCCTCCGATTGGGCAGCACAGCAGCCGGCTCACTCGCGGATGCCCGCGGAGGTCGTGCACCCAAACAGGCCTTCACGGCTACACGTCCGACTTGGTCAGGTCCCAAGTCATTGTTACACAGCGGCGTGTCCTTTTATATGCGGTCACTCGATTGTACAGCTCTCAAAGGTGTCCCTGTTGACAGGCAGCATTCCCCTCTGTACGCACAACTTCCCCGTTCGGTACTATCATACTGGCGGCTCCCACCCAGAATAGAATCCCTAGAACTCCCCTTGAACTTCATAACCCGTCCATCCCACTCGATCTGTATCCACTTCCCAGTATCTAGTCCTTTAAGCCAGCCTACCTGGACCCGTCCGCCTGCCGGCGTTCCTGAGGTCCCTAACCCGGTCACCTACCCGGTCCCCCTACTCTCACTTCAATTCCCGACACTTCCTCAACTCGTCCATCTACCTCCCACATTACCCCTGTACTGCCCCACTTACTCCACATCCTCCCCGTTACAATCTGTCCCCTTGACCTCACAAATGCATCTTGCATTATTTCAAGCCCAGTTTTGGGCATTTTGCAGCCTATTTTCCATTTTTTGTCTATTCCTTGAATCAGGGGTCTTAAACCGCTAACACCAGGCAGATAAGGTAATTGCCGCCGTCGCTGTTGCCAAAGCATATCCAGTGCCTTATGAGGCGCTCGGTTTGCCAGTAGTTCATTGGTTTGCAACCGTCTGCCACTGCGAAGCCAGCAGCGGGGTCGGCGGCCGCCCGGTCTAAGTCCGGCGTGGTGCAGAGCTGGGAAAGCCTCGCGGGGTGCCAGTGACAAAGGTAAGCGGACTCGCTCCGCCCGTGCCACTGTGGTGCTGCCGTCCCTCGGGTCTGAAGCGGTAATTTGAGGCCTGCGTCATCTGAAGAGGAAGATCCTCGTGACGACCAAGTGGCGTCTCCGAAGAACAGTTAATGGAATAGATGCTGTGGGAATTGCCCAGGGGCGTGGGGCATAGTTACGGCAATACTGTGTAAATCTGAGTGAGTGGCGGTGTGATTGGTGCTGGCAGATTGATTGGGACGTTCAGGGATCAGAATTCTGTGATGGACGTGCGGTTTGAGGACAGTTTGGACAATAACTATCTACGATGTACTTGTAATGATGTACATATGTGAGGGAGCCGAGGCAATCTGCGCCTTTTCGCTCTGCTCTGACATTGACAACACCGTCGCGCTGTTCAAACGCCCGCATCTGTGTGAGGGGTCTGCCCTTCGAAGTGGACCTTCAATTACCGGAACAGGGTTCCCTTCCACGTCATCTGCTCGCCGTTACCCGAGTGCCCCGCTGCACAATCCATGCCCCCCTGGCAGCCCGTTGGGCGAGCAGGGCGACAGCGCGGGCCCTTGCATAGGGAACACCGCGCGTCGTGCTTACATGTGCCGCAGAAAGAGTTTTGCGTGGCAAGAACGAGGCAGCCGGACGCTGGAGAGATGGGGCAGAGCGGGCAGCCGTCAAGCAGCATGGCCGGGTGCCCGCCGGGGATCCGAAGAATTGGGCGTCCCGGCTGTTGCGTCCTTTGAGTGTCTGGGGCGATGCCCTCTCTCACAAGTCACATGTTTGGCATGGCCTCTGATCCTGATTGTGAAGTGCTGTTCCCTTTGGCAGATGCGTGGCCGCGCCTGCCCACCCCCACCCACCCACCACCCACCCACCCGCACCCCTGCCACCCTCCCCTTTCTCTGGCCCCAGACAGCGGGCGGCGCACGGCGAATTGGTTCCAAGATCCGAAGTTCTTTGGTGCGAAACTGCCACCCATCGCTGCGCCCCCTGCCAGGGAGGCCACCGAATCAGGGCGATGAACCAACGCCGGGTTCGCGACCGCGAGGCGCTCTCCGGCGGCGGAAGCGCCCCCAAAGCGACCAGAATCCGCAAACAAAGACCGAAACAACAGCCCTGAAACACCGAAAAACGGGGGAACGGCTCCAAGCGCAGCCGGTGCCCTGGTCGCGATGCCCGGCTACCCAGGGGCTTCCCAGTGGCCCAGGTCCCGCCCCGGGCAACGCTGTACTTTAGACCGGTTTCGAGCGTCCGCGCACAGCGCGGCGCGAGGCACGCCCGGCGGAGTCGGAAAAGAGCGGCGCGCCTGGAAGCAGGGAGAGGTCAAGGCCGTGTGATTGGGAGCTATCGCAATTCGCAAAAGCTGGGTGCGATGCAAATCACAGCGCCGCGCGCGGAAGCACACGAGAGCGAGGCCGGTCGACCAGGAACTTGCCATGCCGGCGCGCCACGCTCGGAAAGAATTGGTGCGTTTCAAATCACAGCGCCGCGCGTGGAATCAGCAAGGGAGCGACGCCGATGCCCTGGGTGACGTGCCCTCCGGGGGGCTTTGTTCCATCCCTGCATTCAGTCGAGCTGCTCTCGCCCGACGTCTTTTGCTCCGAAGTTCGGGATGACAGCGCACCTCGCTCTGCGCCGCATCCTCCGAAGGTCCGCCAGCATCCGGCGGGTTTCGGAACAGAACGCCGCGCGTGGGGGCATCCCGAGAGCGACGGCGATCCTATGGCCGACGCGACTTCCGAGGTGTTTCAGTGCGGATGGCGACGAGGATGTGGAACCGGGGATCGAACGGGGTATCACTGGGGCGCGCTCTAACAAACTGCCTGGACCAGGGGGTGGAAAGATGGTAGCCCAGGCTCGTAAGCACTCTTCCACCCAGCACCGCGGGCCTTGTCCCACAGCCGTTTGAGTAGAAGCGCATCCGCCCGAAATGCCAATTTGGTGGTCTGGTGGTCCGCCAGCGTCTAGCCCTCGCTCGATGACCCGCGGCTCGTCGCCTCTCTTGGCCAAAGGCGGCCGCGCCGCTCAAGCC